AGTTTTACAATAAAAAGTTAAAGGAGCAATAGCAGAATCTTCCAGAATGATGAAAGGTCTTATTATTATTAAACTGCATTTAAGTATACTTACAGAGCAGCAGATTTCAGACAGTAGTCACATCCTATTTCAAGGAAAGAATACTGTGCTCGAATTACAGGAAGATCAGGGGTCCTAATCCCATGTGCTCTCCCTCCAGAGTACATTTCTGCAATTTGGCAACAAAAGTGTAAGTTTGGGCCCTGCCTAAAGCTGTATTGACAGCCCAGCAATTCTTTACACTACATTTAAAGCCAAGAGAGAGGGTGATCACTGGATCATGTAAGGAGTTTCAAGTATTTTTGCATCAGTAGGCACTGACTGGGAAGAGCTGTTCAGTAAACAATGCTCTCAGCTTTTAGAAGTACCAGCCTCATGGAGTCATGTAATCAACAGTCTGAACTATCCCAGCAGTGCTGCCCAGCCCTTCTGATCAATATAAGGTCACTGCACTTCTCTGTCATGATAGACCTTTCCTTCTCTCAAGCACCAATCCTGCCATCTGTGTATTTCCCTGCACCCTCCAGCACCAAGGGCTGCTGCCAGCAGCTCTTATGCCAGCAAGTGAGGCCAGTACAGGCAAGAAACCTCTCCAGCAGCTGCTCCAGCCCATTATAATTCAGGGACAGCCCTTTAATCCCCACATCACGTATGTATAGGCAGATAAAGAAGTAATACCCACCCACCTGCAGGTTGCTACTGAAACAGTTTATTCATCCTAGAGCCTGCTGAGTGGGTGCTCCTGAACACATCCTGAGAAAAGAGTTTTTCAAGCAGTAACCATAAACTGGCAGTACCATTCAGCTGGGCCATATACAGACCATGAGGTGTTAGTTGAGCACCTCTATCTGTAACGATCTCTGCTTATTTTTGTCTCCCAAGAGAAGCATCTGAAACTTCTACATTTTTCCCTTACACTTGAACACTTCCCAAACAATCTGGGTTCTCCCTCTTTTGAGGTTAATGGAAAACCAACACTGACTTTCAGGAAAAAGGGCTAAGTGTAAATCTAGCAAAGAGATTTGAGAATCTTATGTAGATCTGTATTTGGTCTCACCCATTTTCTTACAATTATTCCAACCACCAATAAGAAAATAGTCAATTAGGACAAAATGATCCCAACTAAATTAAAAGCAGTTTGGCAACTGCCTCAAAAATTCTCCCAGTCAGCACTGCCTCCAAGAGTGTCTTAATGCCTAGTACAATTTGGAACCAAGCCATATTCTTCTTCACCCCTCCACCTATTTGTTGCCACTCCCTAGGACATTTTTGATCAGTGGAAAAAGCCAGGAAGTGATTCAATTTTTCCCAAGCAGTCCCATAATCCTACTGAGACTCCTAAAGGGAAACAAAACCAGGAAAGCCTCTCTGTCTAAAACAATGTATTACACAGACCTGTTTCTTAGAGAAATAAATTGTTTTCAAAGCAGTCATTGATGCCCAGCCTTAGCAGGTTCACCCTAAACATCACCAGTGAAAAGAGAGAAGTCAAGATTATTTTTGGTAACTCATCACTCCTTACTAAAACAACAAACTGTACAACGGAATAAAAAAACCTCTCTGAAATTTAAGCTTTGGGAGGCAATTGCAGTGAAGACTCTCTGAAAGAGAATGGAAAGCAAGGAAGCACAAGACAGACCAGGAAGGTGGTCCCCTATGTAACAATCTTGCTTTGGGAAAGATATGAACCTTCAGAGCAAGTAATGGAAAACATTAGTGATGGCCAAGGACAACTGGGAGGCAGAGGAATTGTTCCATGTGCCAATCTGCATAGAGAAATATCAGACTAAATTAGGAGCTTTTGGCATGCACCCAAACTTATAGAGATGTAGGACATACCTCTTTCCATATAGGAACAATTTTCCTTTCCCCTGAGCTTGGTGGGGCACCAATATCTCAAAGTATGTGACCTCAAAAAAACCATACAGAGAGATGGATGGCAATGCTGTAATTAGGACACCAGCGTTTTGCATTAGTAGAGCTTATTTTCTTCTTTAAATTTCAGGCAAATTAATTCAAGTGCAAATGTTTTGAAGATTCAATACTCATTAGGGAAATAAAGAGTCCTTGGGGGGAACAAAGGCTAGACAGAGCAAAACGAATAAGGAAATGCAAAACTAAAGCTGAATAAGCAGCAAAACCTACTGACAGTGTGGAACAGGCTCTCATGGGACACAAAGGCCTAAGGTTTTTGGCAGTCTAGATGAGCTATTGTTTTTACTTACCACTGGCACCTTTGCAACCTTCAAAAACCACAATGGAGACAGCTCCATTTGCGTTGAAGAAAGTAACAGACAAAAATGCTTTTTAATGGAGACTCATGCATGCCATCTGTTCCTGTAATGTGTAGAGTAAGACAAAGACTATGACCAGGACTTGAATCCCTTAGAATTCCTCAGCCTGCAAACAGTACACAGACTTACAGGGTCTTTATAAGAGCTAAGGTTAACACCAGTGGCCCTATGATATAAAGTTACGCTCAGATGCTTCTACGATTTGCAACAACTTCAGCATTCAAAACATAACTCACGTTGGGCATTTGCTGACACGTATAAATCAAGCAAACAGCTGCTTTGACCCCCTGTCTCCGTACAGAGACATATGCAGGATGAAGGAACGAGACAGGCTATTTTGGGCGACTCTTCAAACTAACAGGTCAGAGGACTGGAGATTATTCCCACTGCATTCTCAGATCAGCTATGTGCTGGGGGGAGGCTCTTACATATCAAACAACGGCATTATATTGCTGTTCTAAAAATAACCTCAAATCATTTGCCCTGCATTGTCACTTTCAAACTAACTCACATTATACCCAGTTGCAGGCAATGGCCATGCTACTGTTTATCCAGATACTGTTACTCCATCAGATGAAATCAGGAATGTGACGAACCTCCACTCTGACTCAACACCAGGAACAAAAGAAAGTTTTCTATGAACATGAACAGAAAAGGAAAAAGATTTCAAACAGTTACAGCTCCCACTGAGGAGTTTACTTTAAACAAAGAGTTTGTTTAATTATTCATGCATCCTTTTAATCTGTCAGCATTCAGTCAAGGACAATACCATCTGTGTTCAATGTGTCAGTGAAGGTAAAGGACAAACAAGAGATAACTGGGCTAATTATCAAATAGTGATAGTGGAGTAATTGCTTAATATAGTCACTTTTTTTGCAAAATTACCAGAACTAACACCTTCTACTGATTTCTTTCTGTAACACTAAAACAATGCATATTCTGCTGGATTAACCACTGGAGGTATGTGGATTCTTCATTTTTCTAAACAAGGAGATTTTGCTTCAGAAACAGAAAGAAAGTCTTGAAATGCAATGACTTTGTTTGGTTTTCTTTTTCAGCTCTGAGGATGAGAATGGCAAAGCTGGGGAAAAAGGTGATTTAACAGCTGTAGTGACATGGAAGTAAAATTTATTACTCAAAGCAGAATAAGGCTAAGAAGACTTTCTTCCACACGCTTTTTCTGGATCATAATGCTTGTTTTGACCTCTGTTTTATGGGCTATTTTGCCCTCTGCATAATCCAATGGACTTTAACAGACTTTCAGATTTGACCAACTGCCACATACAGGCAAATCATATCCTGGATTTTGTTAAAAGTAGTGGGAAGTTACCTAAGGCCATAAATGCAGCGTATATACAGTATGAAGACATGTGCGTACCTGTTCCCACAATCAGGAATATGCTGTTGCTATATACACAGAGCAGATAAACACCCACTGCCATGGAACTTCATGGGACATTGCTTCACATCAAAGTGTGCCAATCTATCCTATTTTAACCAAAAATGCCACCTCAGCATTTTCTTGTCAAAAGCACTGGTTAATAAAAAGCTAAACATGAAAGAGAAGATCAGGAAGAAATGTAAATATAAAAGCTGCTTTCCAATCATGCTACCTTAGCTGAAATTTAAAGCATTCCTTTTTAAGTGATAGCAGAACAAACCAAAAATAGTTAAGTCAGCATATTAAAATATTTATCCACCTTCTAGAGCTCCACAGTCCATTCACCCTCCTATGTTACATACAACAGTATAGCCATCCTCAAACCCTGCTCCCTTCCCTGTGTCACATGTGCTGCCCACCCACAACCTCATAGATCAGTCCTGTGCATAATACTGCAAACAGCCTGACCTCCTGAGCACGGTTTCACCTCCCAGCTTGCTCAGCAAGTCTGCTTTTCTGGGAAACTGGCTGCCAGGCAGGCAGTGTCTGTCCATCAAAACAAACAAACAAATGCCACAAAAAAGGAAAACCAACCGTAGTGTTTAGTATACAGGTTTCAGTTGGCTGGGGAGCCTCCCATCCAAAATACTGAGTTGCCAATGGCTTGTCCTGCAGCTGCCACAGAAGGTCTGTTACAGGTGCAGCCACTGCTGGGCACAGCTCCAGAGAGGTCCAAGGCTCCCACCAAGGAACAAGACAATTCTATTCACAAGGGAGGAGCTCAGGGCCCTAGAAGCAGCCATAAGATATAATCATACCTAGAAAAGTCACATCCAAGGCAGATTTTTCTGGTATACAGTTTTTGGGGGAAAAAGTGCCTCATAGCACACTACATACACCCTTATATTCAAATCAGTACAATAGCTTTAATTCGCTAGGCCTTAGCCTGGTTTGAAACACTAAAGAAATAAAGCTCAGGTTGTGTTATTCTAGCATAGCTGACTCAATTTATGCACCAGCAAAAAACCACTAACTTTTTCACTGGTCTTCTTCTCAAAGCAGGAAACTGAAGCTACTACCTCATACTGAGGCATAATGGTAGTAATTGGCTGACTTGTAGCCTCTAAACACTTGGTGGCTCCCAGTCTGAAGTAGGTGATAATCTCAAATTTTAAGACTTGTCAGAAATGGTTACCTGGAGAGTGAAATAGTAAATAAGAACAAATAAATTTAATTGTAGTACACTTCCTCTATGTCTATCCTGGGATTTTTTTGGTTGTTGTTTTACAGGGGTTTTTTCTTATGCTTCTTCTGTTATTTGCTGTTTGTGACACCAGAGGGCTTCACCCTCAAACTAAGAGTTGGACTTGATGATCCTTGTGGGTCCCTTCCAACTCCGAGCATCTCAGTGATTTTGTGAACTCTTAATAGGTTACACCAAAAAGTGACAGTAGGAAAGCCACATGAAGTAGTCATGAGTATTTTTTGTAACAGCAGCAGACTGCTATGCCTTCCCCAACAATCTGTGCTATTAAACTTAAATACTCCAGAAAAGGGAGCAAAAATGCAACTACCATCATAGTACTAGTCAAAGTAGCTTAAAGGAAAGGAGACTGAATAGAAACTTCACAATAGGGAATTCTTAGTAACCTACAAGTGAAATTCACTACCAATATATGAAAAGTAATGTAAAAAAAGCATGTTCCGAAGAACTTGCCCTGTGCTGATTGTGCTGTGCCACTTCCTCGGGTGTATGCAACAGTCCTTCCCTTCATACATACCCTCAGAGAAGTTTGGATCAGATAGATGTGAGCAAAGAATTTTTCAAACATACTAGCAGAATATCCCTGTTAACCATGTCTCTACTCACCTGGACTCTTACTTCACTCTCTACCAAAGGTCTAAAATCACTGAGATATTGACTTCTGCATTGAAATAGAGAATATTGCAGTTTTTCCTAAATGACTGCTGTTCATCTTAAGTTGTTTGGAAAGGGATGTGCCCACACAGAGCACAGTTTACATGCATGACAAAAGAAAACCGTCCATCCATACTTGGTCAATCAAAAGCTTGAGCATAGGTATCAAGCAAACCAGAAGTTCTATCCGTATGAGCTGGTTTTAAATTTAAAGACTGAGTTTCTTCATAAAGCTTGAGATCCTTTCCAATTAGTTCATTTAGGAATACTTCCTATTTTGGACAGCCTTCACGCGTCTCCAGTTTAAAGCAAGCAAGCAAAAGAAAAGCGCTGTTATCTGAACAAGGGCGCCACGCAGTGTTACAGACCGGGATGTTACAAACACAAGGCAGGCGATCTCTCTCTAACCTTCCCTAGGTGAAGGAAAAACGTGGCCGTAGTTACACTGAACATAATTACTCCCCATCCTGTGATTTTTGACAAAACAGGAAACAATTTAGCACTCAGTGTAAGGAGGAGAAAAGAAGCACACCTTTTCCTGGCTCATTCTGCAGCCTGAAATGTCAACTAGGAAAAACTTAACTCCAAGTAAAGCACAGTAGCAGTGAATTCTATTGCACTTGAGTTACGTGCATCAATTAATTTTCCTTCAAAACACAGGCAAGGAAAACGATTTGTAGCTGAGTCAAGAGCAGAGGACCAGTATTTGGAGGTTGCACCTAACAACTCAATCAAAACAGTAAACTACTTGTTGTGAGACTGGTGACAAATTTCTACTTGGCTGGGAGTGTTTGCCTGCCTGGAAGAAGCCAAACAAATATGTTAATTTGTCATCACAAGTTTGAGATTAAAAGAAAACACTCAAACCTTCTCAATCTCTTCTGGTGAAGAAATTTTCATGACTTCAGTGTGACCCCTTTAGGAAGCAAAGCAATGGGCATTTTCTTCTATACAATATTGTATGATTCAAGGAAAAAAAATACAGCAGCCACTAGTGTCTGTAGAACAAGGCTGCCCGTCACCCATTTTCCTGCCAACATCAAACACTTCTGTGGACTTTTTTTTTTTTTCAAAGGAGTATACCAGAAAAGTTGGAAGTCACTATAATACAATGACACTTTCCTTCCTCTTACCAGTCATGCAGAAAAAGGGCAGGGGTGGTTATGTGAACAGACATTACATAAAATTAGCAAGTCTTTCAATCAATTAGGTTACAATACTGCACATAAGGGCTCATGTAAGAAACCACACAATCTTACAAGCAAAGGGAAGAAACAAGTTCTCCAGAACAACTGACAAATTTGCCAATGTGGAAGTTCTATTAGATGTTGAATAAGGAATTTTTTTTATTCTTGAGGAAAAGAAACTACATTATGAAGTGAAATTATTTTAATATTAAATTTCAGTAGTAGTTTGTCCAGGAAGGATTTAGATAGCTTTAATTTATAAAACAACATTGACAAAAACCAGACAATCCATTTTGCTCCTAGGCAAGACTTTTCTAGTTTCTATTCGACAGTGTCTTCACATTACTAAAAAGGACAAAGCCTTCTACTGAGATATTTACATTCAAGTTTTAAAACCCCTGTGTTCATTGTCACATGTAAATGAAACAACACACAGTACAGCTCTTGTATTACAGAAAGAATTGGCATTGACCTTAATTTAAAAAGCCATCAGTCGTGTCTATGTTGAGTGATTTGTCTTCTATAAACTCATGGTATATGAAAGAGTCTCAAAACACTTTAGTGCTAGATGGGCCTGAGATTCCCAGGCTTTTGCGATCAGAATTCTCTAAAAAAACTATCAACCCACACGACTGGCCCTATGCTTCTTGCCATTCAGCCTGAGTTGTGACTCATTTCTTCTTAGCCCCCTTTCCAAGTCTGACTGACATGACTTCCAGGAGGAAGGTGGATGATTCAATTTACAGTCACTCACAATCAGCTGCTGCTGACAAAGGGATTAATCCCAGCTCTATAAATGCCCTCATAGCTAAACAAGATACTTGAACAGACAAAAAAAGATCAACTGCAAACAAACTTGTAGTTTTCTGAATATTGTGTCCCTGCACTGTGGACCTGGGGAGATGGAGGAAGATATAGAAACAGCTCTAGTAAATGGAGAGAACCAGCACCTGACCTTCACCTACAAGTATTTTAGAGCTGTCCCTTAGGTAGTAGAGAGATGTTGCTGTAAAAGTCTATACCATGCCAGGCCTCACTATTTACTATTCTATCCAATGTATCAGCACCTTCATTCACAGCTACCTTAGGAGCCCTAGACTGAAAATGTATTTTGAAGTATGACAACTGAAAATCAATACTTTCCAGTATGAAAAATGAAGATATGTGGACACAAGTTATTCAGGGCCATAAAACAAATGTAAAGTGCTGTACTGCACAGCATATTAAGGGTTTGTTTCCAAGATGCCATTTCAGGAGAGTCCTTCCATACTCAGGTCAACCATGAAGCAAAGAAGTCAAACAATATAGTCTCTTTCTGTTCTCTGTACCTAGTTCATATACTTAGATAAACCTTTTGACTAAAAAAATGCCCTCCCATACTCTTAAAAAATAGAGTTGTTATAGAATTCTTTTAGTTCTGTCTTCTAGATATGCCAGTTAAGCGACTCTCACTTTACATTATCAGAAACTGCTTCTCCTGAAGTCATCCTAACTCCTAATGCACTCTTCACTCAATAGCATGAATACAACTGCAACGTTCCTGAACAAGTATTTTCACTTCCATTTAAGCATCAATTGGCATAAATCCATTGTACTCACACAGAAGATAACTCAGAAGCCACAAGCAACGAGGGACAGTAAAACACAGCAATCCATACACACAGATAGGTTCTTCCTGTTTGAGTTTTGGGTAAGTACAACCAGGTTTAATAAACTTATGTTGCAAATGCTTTCTCTTTATGGTTTATAAGCACTGAGGGGGATGAGATGGAAAAGTATTCTGAGTGAGGCAAATGGTAGTTTTACTGAAGGACTGAAGTTTCCACACTCCTATGCTTGTTGTGTGAGTAAACTGCTGCTCTTGGAGCAGAGAGAGCATTTCTCACATTTAACTGTTGTGTATTTAGTTCATGCATCAATCTGCATTTGTGACATTTTTTCACTAAGTTCTGTGTTTTGGTTTTGGGTTTTTTTTAATGCACAAAACTGTCACAAACAGGAAGTAGTCACATCACATGCCACACATGGAACAGATATGACAGAATCCAGATCAATCTTTCCACATTCCCCAGTAATATTCACAAAAGGTTTAGGGAATTGATGATCAAAACACTTTCAGCACATCTTCTCAGGTTTCTTAACCTATAAGCTTCAATCAAGTTAACTACTGTGCTTTAAAAAAAAAACAAAACCAATTTCCTTACTCAGGCAAAAATTCCCATTGAAAGTCCTGCCAGAAGACAGCTTTTGTAGGACTGCAGCATCCTTCTTATCCGTCTATAGATTTGAATTCCAGACCTCCCTAACACCAAGCATGACACATGTGCTATTATTCTTCAATTACATCTTCAGGGAGATGTTGAGAGCAAAGTTGTAATAGAAATCATTTTTTTCAGATTTTTCAACAGTGCAGTATTTCATCACAAAATTCTCCATTAATTATTTTATGTTTTGTTGACTGCTATCAGGAAGGCAACAAGGAATACTATATTTCCACAGACATAGATGGTTAACACAACCTGTTTAAACAGATGACCCTGCAAGAAAACGGGAAAAAAGTCATAGAATTGTCAGTCTTTTTATTGGTTTAAACAATCATCCCATTTCACAATAGTTATTTACCCAATTGTGACTCACCTCTGCTTCTGCAGATGTGAGTGACTGCAGTATCTGTACTCTGTCATCCTCTATCACTTCAACTGTTCATGGAAAGAAAAAAGAAGTTAAATTGGCTCTTAAGAGGAAGGGGGGGGTATTTTTATACTACAGAAGTCTTACACAACATCAAGCCTGAAAAACAACTTGGAAGTCTCATTTGACATTTCATGACCTCTACCTACCATATTCACAGCACAAGTGAAAAATTTTTCTGGGATTGACCTACAAAAAGTAAATTCTGGACACTGAAGTGGAAAAACCATTTTGTCTCTTTTGCTAGACTGAATAATTAGAACACTGGGGTTTGAGCTAATACCCTTTCCTTTTACATGTTAAGATAACTAGAATTCATTAAGAAGTATTTTTCATTAGCCAACATCAGAAAACTCATTGTCCAAACATTTCAGATTAATTTCTATTTCTAGGAAGTAATTACTGCCATTAAATCTAAATTCACATGTTTTATAGTCACTCCTATTCCACTTGTCACCTTACACAGCCTCTTAATTAATTACACCTCTTCAATCCTGCAGATTTCTCATCTTTGACTTAGATACAGGTCATTTACATGTGCAGTCATCTCCTGTGACTCCAGGCAGTGAAGATAATTCCAACGAAAGTACTACCCATCTCTTCACTAGAAACATTGGAGTCAGGATTTCACCGTCGTTCCCCATTCACTCAGAAGTGCAGCTATCTAAGCTCAAGTTTCTGATCATTCTGCTCATGCAATAACAACCAGCAGCAATTTGCCAACAATATAGGGCAGAGTAAATCCATGACTTAGTCTGGACTTAACGTACCTACTTGGGATCAAAATTGCCAACAATGACAGATTCTTTGAAGATATTTATGCATTTCAGTCTGTCCCTATGAACTATGGTTTGAGAAACGAAAGGCTACTGTTTAAAAAGGCACAAACCAGTTTTCCAGACAAAAGTGTTCTGTAAAAATAGGGGTTACTTCCCTATTAGTTTGTACAGAAGATACAACACTATTACCCAAGAGTTATTTCTTTTCAGCTTCCCAATTAGAGGCCAAAGAGCATCTCCTGAAATTCAACCCACACTGTTACGTTTTTAATGCTCAGAGAGCAAAGATGACAACAAGAGCTGTTCTGGGTTTGTACCTTTACGTATGAGGCAGTAGCTGTGTATTTCCAGAAGAACATCAATACCAACATGCCAAGCTACAAAGCCAATCATTGTATAGGTGTCCCATGAGTCTGGCAGGTCAAGTGCTGGTAGATCCATTCCCAAGAACATAGTCACCACTAGTCAGTAAAAACAAGACAAGAAGATGCTAAGAATGCTGTGCTCATAAAGTGCTCTCAATGTTTTTGGCAATAGATTTCCCTTTAATTGCTTACAACTGCTAGAGGAATGAGGTTAAAGGAGTTCAGGCAGCTGAAAGATTACTGGTTTGTTGAGGGTTTTTTCCTGTTTGGGGTGGGGGGCGGGGTCAGGGGGCTGTGGTTTCTTGGTAGTGTGAAGGGCAAGACAGGATAGAAAAGGAAAAGGCCAAAATAGCACACTAAGTATGTTGAAAACTAACACATTACAGTCACAAACGCTAGCATTTGTGACTTCCAACAAGACCACAGCACCACACTATTTGTGCTTAAGCTGCCTGTGGAAACTTTGTCTGCTATTACTAGAATTAAATCCAGCTTCTGGTTCAATAAGTGACAGTCCCCTCTCCCATTAAATAGCATTGAACTATGTTACTGTAAGAACACTATCCTCAAATAATCCAAGATTAAAAGAAATTACTGAAGATAAGAACAGGTCCTCATTACAGAGATATCTCAGGTTTGTCAGTAATTTCTTTAGTTTTAAACAGTCACTTTTTCCTCTATAAAGTGATACCCGATGGCCACTTAAAATTCACACAGGAGATGGCCAGCAAGAAAGAGAATCTTCACACATACCAAGACTGAGTGTCCATAGATGTTTAGATCAGTAATAGCCCAGATAATGAACAAAGCTGCTTTAAATCATTTAAATAGGCATTACAACTATTACTTCTACTCACCAGCTAATATTCTAGCTGTTGTACCAGTACTCCAGTGAAACCAGTTAAACAATTGCCTCCTGCAATGAAACACATTTCTTTGATTACGTAGCTGAGGGAGGGAGGAGGAAACAAAAAAAAGTGGTTTTACCTACTTTAAATTATAAAAGCTTTTTCATCATAAAAAGAATTTGTAAAAAGGAAACAGGCAAGTTTAGTCCCTGTGGTTGTAGTTTGATGAGTTAGTTGTACCTCGGTGCGTGACGAGATGGTCTGAAACCTGCCATGAGTGGTTGAAAGATCGTCAAGGCCATCACGGTACAGCCGAGATAGGGATGAAAACCTGCTTGCTAAACAGAGAGGACACTTTTTAAAATATCATACCTATACAAACATAGAAGAAAAAATAACAAAACGTTGAAAGTTTTATTTATTCTTTTGTTAGTAGGTTACAACAGTGGACCAACACTGGGAGAGGCAACAGGACACAGGGAGCTGCCCTGCAGCCAGATGGAGAATGTTTACCTTGGCAGCACACACACTGCTGTGTCTGCCCAGGGCTTGTCCCACCTTTTTGCTGTATTGAGAAATTCTACAAGCTGAAGAGCAGAGTAATAGACTGTAGAAGCTATGCCCCAAGCTCTTCAGTCTTGTTTCTGTGTCTTCAGAAGAGGTCTATTTTTTAACTCCTCCCAGCATGGTCTCCCTTCTCACCCTGTCTATTCTAATACTAATCCTAAAACATTTATTCAATTTCCCTATCTCCTAGTTCATACCTGTGACCATGTTCTCCAATCCTGAATTCAGATACTCCTTAGACTTGACAATTTCTGCTGTCACCTTGCACCAAATATAATACAGATGAGAGCAACTTATATAATCTCTATCAGACTAAGCTTAATCACTGGATACAGCTACTCACATCTAAGTTCATAAAAACACTTATTTGCAGCCGGTTTACCACACTAATGTCAGCCATCACATCCTCACTCCCCTCCCAGATTCAAGCTCTCTAAGGAAATAGGAAGACCAAAATTGCATATAAAGAAATTGTGAGCAAGGAATTCATTTGGGAGAAAGGAAGGAAGGCAGGGTCATTTTTCAGTTGTAGCTGAAGGAGACAACATTCCTCTTTCGTGTTGCTAGGATTTGAAACCAGCCTACCTAAGAACACCTTTCACAGCAATTTGCTTGGAAATAATCGTAATGTGTTAGTCATCAGTGGACCTATTTCTCATTCATTTGGTCCCACCTTTATATTTAACAAACAAGACAAAAGCACACACTTACTTGGCTCCAACCTCCTCTGTATATGAAAGGTAACACAAAAGAAATGCTTGTAAGCAAGACTGTGGTCAACATAAGCATACGATGCACCTGGAAAAGTTAAGTTTACACTTAGAAACTCTACAGTTTTCTTAACACATCATTGAAAGACACTAAACAGACGTCAGTTAAAGATGTTCTTAGTGCCCTCTTTAGACTTTGTTTTTATTAGTAAAGTAGATTAACTGATTCATAATTGTTTCATTTTATAAGATCAAAGATGTAAATCACACCATGTTTAGTCTCCTATTTTTTGGATTTAATAAGTTTATAATTCTGCTTACAATAATACTAGAAAACACAGCTGGAGATATGGGTATTTTGCCCACCTGAAACCACATTTCCTTTCCAAACAGGAATGAATGAGCCCAGACAGGTTTGAAAAATCTTGCAACAATAACGCCAATACTAACTGTGGTAATCCAAGCAACAAACATCAGAGCTCCTGCAAATTGAGGGAAAGAAATACAAGGAAAATGAGTAGTTTAAGTGCATTTGAATACAACTTAAAAGACTATGTGATAGTTTAGTCCTTATGCATATGCTCAGAATTAACCAGTGAGTAAAAACTTATCACCTGGTTCAGACTACAGCCTTACAGCATTTATCTTGCTAGAGGGCAGAAGCACCCATGTAAAAGATAATTATACTATGCCCACACAGCACAACACAGAGCAGCTTTGGCTACTGCACCCTTCATACATGTCAACACAGTCCCTGTATGCTGGTGAGAGACACCATTCTGTCAACAACTCAGAAATGAGAGGATGAAAGACGACATTGTTACAAGTTGTGTGAGAAAGAAATGAGTGACTCTCATGGACCTGTGTTCAAGCCAGTACTGTGAGAGAAAAAATTCCAATTAACTTCAGTGACTCCAGAAAGCCAGTTGAGTGTTTTCTCATTTCAAATAGAACTAAGCAAATAATGCAACTAGAACAACTTGAACCAGAGAGTCAAAGAGAAACAATCCTAATCATTAATGGCCAGTCTTCGCGAGCGAAGATCCGGGGAAGGTCTTTTACACCTTCCAGCCTGCGCATTGGATTTTTTAGGTGAGACACAGTGTGCGCGGAACTGAGCCCACCCTTTAATCCTAAGGTTCATCTGCCGGGGCCAAGCGAGCTTGGACGGTGGCAGTGAGGTCCTTAGGACGTAGGTGGGTTGCCTTTAAGGGCTAACGAGCCCCACCTGCCCGGGAGTGGCCCTGACCGGGAATCGAACCCGGGTCTCCGCGGTGATAGCGCGGCGCCTTTACCCCTAGACCACCAGGGGCTCCTAATCATAAACACTGGGAAAAAGACAAATGCAGGTTCATTTTCCTGAGCAAAGAGAAACTTAGAATCTGTTCTTGAAAAGAAACATTTATAGCTTCACTCTGCCACCACAGTAGTGGATCTTACTAGCCAACATGAATGCCAGAAAAACGAGAGGAAATACCTACTCTGCAAGAACTCTACAGTCTCAGGAAGTCTAGAGCTGGAAGATAAAACTAAAAGGCACAGCTTACCATGAGCCTTGATAAGTCGTGGGGAGCGGGAGCCTCCAATATCCTGAGGAGGACCTGTGACATTGTACAGTCCGTTGGTGATCAGGGGCTGACGATGATGTTTGTATATTAGTCCACCTAAGCAGTGATGAAGTATTTTATTAATTGTTAATGAAAGCCACTGGACTTTTAAGTGTGCCCATTCCTTATTCATGAATGTTGTGATCCCTGAGCATAATTGTACAAAATTTCTGACATGCAATACACTAAGAACCCAAGATGTCATCTTAGCTATCTTGCACACCTCATGTACAAGAATTAACCTACTCCTCTACAGGAAATTTCTTTCTCCACTACATTCACAGAACCATAAAGAATAATTCCCTTAGATGCTAGTCTCTATTTTTAAAAAAAAGTGTGTCCAGTTCTCAAGAAGTTACCAGTTCCTAGCATCAAGTGAGCAGACAACACCACATATATGAATAAGTTTGCCACAACTTCAAAAAAGCAAACCCATGATCCAGAAAGGTAGGAAAGGATTAAGGACCTCAAACTTGGGAACCTTAGTTCAGACACTAGTTCTCAGCTAAGCCATATCTTACAGAAGGGTTACTAAGTCATTTAGGGCTGTTTAAAGAAAGGCAACCATATATAAGTCAAGTTCACCTTCACTAGCTTCCCCATCTGCCAGAAAGATGTAGTAACTGGCATCCAGGTTAAATCTCTCTTTATAGGCAGGAAGACGAATACTCCTTCTGAAAGAACATTGAAGAACACCATCCACGAGCCTCCACGACACATCTTCAAGGGTATTCTGTGAAACAGCAGATACTCCGTGTTTTCAGATTGGTAGAGTAATAAACTTGAAAGTAACTCTGTACAAGAACATCACTGCTGCACGAAGAATATCAGTAATCTGAGGAGGGGGAATCTCTCTTGCATGCCAGTAAGTCAATACAGCAACATATGGGTTGGACTTATTATCACCAATTTTTCCAGTTTATGATCTCTTTCCCTTCAACCTTTAATCCAAGATATATCAATTGCAACTGCAGCTCTAGCCGAGGAACAGAGTAATTAATAATAGGCACAAAGGTTCTCAATGCATTAGGTTCCCACCATGTGACTTATTTTTACAATTTAGACATCCAAAGTAAAGATTTACTTGGAAGTAAGAGTCCAACCAATCTCACCTTAACCACCTACGGATCCACCTTAGTATTTGCATCTCTTGGGCAAAATAAAAGCACAAAGAAACACTATACCTCACTTCAAAGCTACATTTGTGGAAGGGTCTTGGTTGTTTTCAAACGTACCTCTGAATCCAAGAGAGGACGACTTCGCCCTGTCAAATGGGCAGTGCCCACATGAACACGGTGGTCCTCATTAATACACAGATACGCATCATCACCACCCTGAAGAGTTTAAAACAAAAGTACATATAGCCCAATAAAAAACACTACTGGCAGTCTCCAAAAGCTCTTTGATTTAAATATAGGCACAGCAAGACCTGAGACAGATTTCTGTAGTTATCAAGCTATTATTTCCCATCTTTCAAACACAGCTGCATTATTACAGAGGAACTGCATTAAGTCAAACAGATGACACAAACACACATAATTTACACACCACACCCTTCCAAACTAACAGCCATATTATAAGAAGTTTCTTTAATTATTTAGAATTTACTAAATCAACTAGAAAAGACAGAGATGGATGTCGATGTTATTTAAAAGTGCACTTCAGTTACAAGATAGTTTTCTTCACAGTTGTAAAGAAAGTTTTGTTAAGAATCAAGTGTTCCTGCACTAGGGATAGGAATATAAACAGCATTTCCTTTGTGCAACAAGTAGTTTATGGACTATGCATTTGTCAACAGCATCATCCCTTCATTTTAACACCAGTTCAAAAAAAGGAACTTTAAACTTTTCTTAAGATTGAATGGAGTTATTTCTATATAAACAATCAATCATGAAATTAAATGGTTTTCAGAATAACAACTCAGCTTCTGACAGGTGAGGTTCTTTTGGCTAGGTAACCAAGACTGATCTAACCAGGAATTTCAGTCAACAGGCTGGATTCTGCCATAGCAGATACCAAGTGGGAAATTTTGCTGCAATTAGTCAGTCCTGAGCTAAAATTGAATATCCACTATAAAAGTTAACTTCTGTTTTAGCTCTGTGGGAGAGTCACACTTCATGTGACATGTAACAGTATTTCCATTTTCCATATGCATGTTTTGGTAGAGTACCATTCAAAATTTACTAAACTCACAAAAGAAACTACAGAAATAGAATAGAAACTCACCATCCACTGGTCATGGGACAATGCAAATGCTAAATAGCCTTCACTTGGACCACTCATTTCAATTAATACTGAACTCTCCTCTTTTTGGAAGGATAGAAAAAAACAGGAAGCACTTTCAGGATCACAGTTTGAAGGGCTCCTAATGCAGAATTTCATACTTCCACAGCCCGAGGCACTAAACTAGACAATTAAGGACACAAACAAATGATAAGCAATGACAGTTTCCCTCCTCTCCCTCCCTTTCTACCCATTCTAAAAAAATAAAAAACTACAAAGAAAACCAAAAAAATGTCATCTATGTCTACACACCAATCTCTTAACCCATGCCTACAAGTGCTCTAGGACAAGTAAAGTGATGGTGAATTACAAGTTGTGCTTTTACTCAAGTTGATCTTCCCCTTAAAGACATTCCAATAGAATAACCTTGAAAAGATAGTAAAAATTTTAGAGAAGCTTCCTTTCATTTAATATTTAGAGAGGTAATATCAGCTGTAGTATGAGGAAGCTTTGTGTTTCCTTTTTAAAGTATAAATTCCATTGATACACAATGAAAAAAATGCAGGGATTAAAATTCACAGTTACCCTGAATCAAACAGTCTTTCTTGCTCAATCCATTTAAAAATCAGTAACAGAAGTCAGTAACAGATGAACTCCCAGGAAGAAGGTTTCTGAGCCTGCAGTTGCTAAATAGGAAACTATCAGTCAAGACCAGAGCAAGTCTTTTCCCCCCCGCTCTTCACAATTATGCATAATGTTTTCTTATCATTAAGTTCTAAATATTCTATCTACCTTTTGACCTGTGTGCAGCATGAGAGTATTTAACCCTCAGAAGTTCAGGCTACTCAACTGACACAAGAAAGTAGCTGGTTACATTCTTAGCCTGAGATATCAGAGTTGCTCATCTCTCCTTTTCTGTCAATAGCCTGTATCAATGTAATCTTGTTAGATTCCATTAATCATAAGCATTAAAGACAGATTTATTATCATTACTTACTGGCTTTGATAAGGAGGAAACTGGGTATGAAGTTGACACAGCCTCTGAAGTTGCATGCAAAGTTGTTGTTGGGGACAGCACATCGGGCTGAGAAATAATGGGACCTGGAATCTTCACCCAGAAAGTCCTGTATTTCTTGACAACTGTGGCTCTTAAAGACAACACTCAGAGTCATTACTGCATGCATCAACAGCTGATTGCTACTTTTAAAACTAAAAGCTTCTATAGTTCATACAACTTACTTGTAAAACCCTCATCTTTATGTAGGCCTCTATCATTTTAGGGATTGAAGTAAGGAAATATCTTAAACGTCAGTAATAGTTTTAAAATATCACACTGCCTGCTGCAGTGAATATAAGAAACATTCATACCTGTGGCATAGATTACAGTTTCAGAGTTGCATTGCATTTGTTGTAGTTCATGAAAAGCTAGAAGTGTAACGGAAGGGTGTACAAATAATTTGGTTAGGTACAAGCAAAGAAAAAGATTCTTAACACTGTACATGTACAGGCATGAGACGTGAGAAGTTATCTAGAAATATTCAAGAAATCAGCCTCCAAATTTTCTTCTACTCTCCCTGCAAAAAACAAAGTAATCACCTGCAAGCACTTCTCAGGCCATTGGTCCAAGGGTACTTTTCAGTTGCTGGCCAGTATTTGACACAGACAATGGTACAGTTTTACCTTGTTTTCATTTTAATAAACTAGAACTGACACTGGATTTACTTACAGAAACTGTACATGTTTTGGTGCATCTCCAGGAGCAATCCAATAAACTTTGATGTGTTTCTTTTTTATTTTACTTGTCTGACTGACAGCTGAATTCTGAAACACACACATGTCAAGAGTTACACAGTGGATATGCACTAAAGAGATGTTGATTAACACAGTCAGCACAGATTGCAGCTAAATCCTAAAGAGATCATTACACTGTACAACCCCAGTGCAACTGGGTTTTCCCCAGTCAGTCATGATCAACTCCAAGTGCAGCACTGCAAGTTACACACACTAACAGACTTCAAGGCTAAAAGGAACAACTTTCAACCCATAAGATGCCAGCAATGAGACAGAGGCCTCTGAAGTATTTATGCAAAAATGGTGGGGTTCTGATAGCAAAATAATGCTCCTTTTCTTGACAGTAAGAGGATGAAGAAACAGTGCAGTGACTGCAGATAGAACAGAACTAATATTCCAGAGGACAAAACCCAGAAGTAGTCTTTGGGTCAGACCATTTTTAGACAAAATAAATAGATCAGACACAGCACTGTCCTCTGAGCACAGAGGGCACCACCCAGATATCTCCATGACTTTACAGCACGGATGATGAATACATTGAGTGCCAGTGGGGGACAGGTGATAGAAGTGGAGAGAAAAGTGCATCTAGGCAGATTAAGAACTTGGCCCACACCAGCTCAGATGACACTGTACATGTCCATGAAGTTCACACATGTTGCTGAAACGCTGTCAGAGTTCACCTCTCTTGTACATGAAGCAAATCCATTTATCTAAAACAGATCTAACCTGTTACTAAGAAGGTTCCACTAACAGTAAATTACAGAGTAACACTAAAGATAAAAGCCTAGTGTTTGGCCAGGTTGGATGGGGTTCAGAGCAACCTGATGTAGTGGAAGTTGACCCTGCCTATAGCAGGGAGGTTGGGGCAAGATAATCTTCAAGGTCCCCATTCAACCTAAACCATGCTATGAAATAATAAATCCTGTGAAATAGTGTTTGTTTACTACAATAACAGCCCTAAACTTTCCCTGCTCTAAGACATTTCCTCTGTCCTTAACAAGTATGAAAAAGCAAACTCCTTTTAATATTAGGAATACACTATATTCATTATGCACAAATAAACATTATGTTACAAGTAAGAATAGTCCAAAAAGTTGCAGTGAGTCTGCCTCTATACAGGAGCAATCTCCCTGAGAGCCTTACTAAGCCCAAATAAAGTTACACAGCTCAGCTCTGTCCTACTCCATAGACTGGTACAAACACCTCAGTGCCTGAGGCCTCATTTTCGGTCACTCGACTATACCTTGGTACGACCACACGTCAGGAGCTGAGAAAGTCTCTGGTCAGCTAACAGGAAAGAACCAACTGCAGGGCCATCCAGGTGTTCTGCATCCCGGGCTTGTATGAAAAATCCTTCAAAATCTGGTCCAGACAGACTGACTGAAGCAAGAGGAAAAATAAAAGTCGGTCAAAATGTTCTCCAAAGGAAGAAGGAAATATTTCAACAGTATCTGCCAGATGCTCACTGGACAAGTACTGAATGATGGTTAACAAACATCTAAAGAACATTCAATTGCTTAGATAAATTTAGCATAGCAAACTGAGTAAAGACATGCTACAACACAACATTAAATTAAACTCTTCAGCCGTAACTGACCTTCTATTTTGTCTCCTGGTTTAAACTGAGTCCCATTCACTGTGATGGTGTGCTCAGGTGACAGTTGTGGAGAGCCACCATGACAGGGTATCATGCTAGTGCAGGCTTTTCTTACTTTTCCATTTGGGTAGCCACCCACAGGTGCACAGAAGCAAATAAACATCCAAACAGCAACAGCAAGACTGGGTATCTCCATCTATATAAAATAAGATTTACAGGCAATTAAATACAATGAGTATTTATATTATAGGTCACAGTTCATCTTTTGAAGTCAGTTGAACACAAAAAGAAAAAAAAAAGTTTAAAAAAAAAAAAGGCATTCAGGAGAAGGCACCATTTCCAGCTGCTGAATAACCTCTGCTTCTGATAACTGCCAGACTTCGCAAGAATGTTCTGACACCATTTTTCAGGCCATCAAGAACACAGGTTGTAGAAGGATTCCTCCATCCACTAGATGGATTATTTCCCCCTGTGCATTTTGACATCAATTCTTAAATGTGTTTTGCCTATCCCTCTCCTATTCTTTCTCGAAAAAAAAAAAAAATCAAGTCCCTTAAACATCTGCACAGGACAGTATTGAGGAACTATATAGTTAGTATGAAACCCACTCTTCTATTAATCATAGCTCCACTTTTACATCATTAAAGACTGCCTTTTTTTTCCCACAACCCGTGCCTATTTCTTCACATATGACAAATAATTCCCCAATAACAAGTTCTTCTTTCTGTAAGGAAACTAAAGTGTCAGAATTAAATTTTATATATGCAAGAGTGTGAATTTGGTATGAAGATTTAGACAAAGAAATATATATGTTTATTGCAGACAAGCACAAGACTTTTCCTTTGAACTCTTCCTTTTGGATATTGGACTTCTAGACAATTGATCAAACAATATCATTGCTTGTCACACACTCTTGTTAAGGGAACAGTGAACATGAAAAACATGTGGAGTAGTAGGACCACAGATCCTAACATAGTTATATGAACCCTTGATCTCAGCTTTCATCACAATGTTTTGCTCAGCCACAACACAGTTTTCATAAAAGCTGTGGCAGTTGTTTTGTTACTCAGTTACATGCAGGTTTACAGCTGTACTGTGGTTTTACAGAACACCTTGAACAACTAGAGAAAGCATTTCCATGTCCAAAGGGCCAGGAGAACAGAGAGGAACTTCCTTTCAATCCTCAGGCACAAGAGAGGGCTATCAGCTCTAGTGGAACACAGACACAGACTGTCTGCCTTCTGGAAGAGCCATTCCCATTTTGCACCAAGTGATAAGAAGTATCAGGCTATGAAGTTCCCTGACAGCACATGTGGACCTGAAGATAAGAAACACACAGAGCCATTTGGTCTGAACTCTCGATACCTAAAAAGCAGCCAAATGAAGACAAGGCAAGTCATTATTCTGACACAATAAGAGAGTCATCAACTCTTCCAAAGTTCTCATACATTCAGTGCTAAAAATCCACAATATCCGAGGCAACTTTACATTTGTACTTCAACATAAGAGCTCCTCAACAACTTCAAACTAGTAAATAGAAGAAAAACAGAGGCAGGAGAGGTTTGAACAGTTAGGTTTCAGGAACTAGAAAATAAAAACCCAACACTCAACTCCTCCTCCCAAATATTCAAGATAACATTATGATCATATCTTTAACTTCTACTTACAGTGAACGTTTCCTTCTAGCTCCAATACTCTGCAAACTGCCACAAGTTTACACCAAAGCGATTTTATTCACAAGTTAAAGAGGCATACAGAAATCTGAAAACTAAGGTTCAGTGCAATTATATGTACCAGAGAAATTTTTAAAACAAAGTTTCTGTAAGAAGAGATAAGGCTGCATACTGCAGAGACAAGAAAAATAGTAGGCTAGAATTCTGCTTTAAGTAGCAAAGGATGTGGTAGGGGTTTAAAATGAAACAAGAAATATTCTTTGGCAGACTCAACTTACTCAAAAGCTGACAGAAGAGAATGATTAAGCAGAGATAAGTAGAATAAAAAGAGACCAAAACCTGAAAGCAATCAAGCTTTGTAATAAGCAAACACAAGGAACTGCCAAATATTTAACTTTTTTCCTGCTATTACCCGTCACAGAAAAAACAGGTGAAGACAACTAGATCTCACAACCACATACACAAGTACAACTCTGAACAAAAAGCATCAGGATTAATAGTGTGAAAAGGATTTGTTATAGAAAGGTTAGGTTTAGGAAAGGTGAAGTGTGATATGTGAATCATTCTTAACCTTACCACAAAAGAATAAATGCCTTTTAAAGATTAAAGTTAAAACAACTCTCCATCTATAACAAGAAGGACCTGAGCGACTGATAAAAGCTATCATACCTTACAGAACTAATTTCTTCTACTATTCTACTCTCTCTAGAAATATGTCTAAATTTAAAAAAAAAACAAGAGTTAATTTGCATTCTAATAAAGATGAATCAGCAGATCATCTTTACTAGATATGGACAAAAAATTGAGTCAAAATCACCATGTGTGGATTTAAAAGGAAAATCTACACTGACTCAAGTTTCGAGGTATGTAAGCTTCCAAACAACCAGCTGTTACTTATGGCATGTGAAAATACTCTCAGTTTTCACTGTAACTTATAATAAATTTTAAATTTGCCCATCTTGACAGAATTGGCATGCAAGTATTAAGAAGTTTTGGCCATAATGGCTTATTTATAACCCTTTGAAATACAGCAACTCATTGGTGAGAGCCAATAGGAATTACCTGACAGCAAAGCTCTCTGTACTAAAGAGGAATAGGAATAAATTGACTTTAGGACTGAAGCATGAAGAGGTTAGAAATCAAAAGCTGAATTCCTGCAGCATTTTTCAACTGGAAAGTCTCTAGTTCTTCTTGTTAACTTACTATCATTTGAATAGTCTGGAAAAGCAGGGAGTTGAAGGGTTTGTGCACTATCCAGTGACTTGTTTTCCAGGGTAAATGCATTACACTGAAATGGTTGTGTTAACCAAGATCCTTAGAGCACATATAATCTGGTTGCTCTGTCCTGCCTGCTTGCCAGCTGCACACTCTGTGGTAGCATCAGTAAGTGCCCCAGCCAAGGTTACAACTGTGTGCTACAGAGCATGCCAGCTCTGTAGTCAGAACACAATCACATACTACTGACTGTTGATTTTTCTTAGTTTGTACTACACACAGATTTGTCAGACAGCACAAGATCCAGGAGTCTTGTCTCTACAGATACTACCACATACCACATCATTACAGTACAAGAGTTATTCAAAGCACTGTTTCATACCTTTATTCAGAACAGAAAAAAATACTTCAATACTCATTAGTTTGAAGCATGACTGCAAATGTGTCATTCCTTCCCTCATCCTCCCTACTTAAATCTTCAGTATACTACATACCCCATCACCCCCTGGCAGGCAAGAAAGCTTCGGAACAAGGTTTTTCAAAGAAAATTTGTAATTAGTTGTAATTCTAATGGTGTTTCAAATACCATGTCACTCTTGGTGCAGAGAGTGGGAGAAAATTCTGTACTTTAAGCTATTTATAATACAGACCTCTAATTAATAGAAAGCCAAAACCAGTGTGATAGCCATCTTCTTCCATATCAAAATTAAGTGGGAATCTTTTCACAATATTTAGTGTACATGGGAGTTTATTCTCCTGATTACACCTCACCATCTTACAGTAACTGGATTTGGATAAGTGGAGAAGAGTAAGTTACTCCCTTCCTGTGTTCAAAACAACTCCTACAGTCCCTGCAGCTACCAACAGCTAAGAAAGCCTGGTAGCCTAATGGCTCATGAGTACAACACTTACACTCAGAATCTCTTCACAGAAGTTCTCTTCTTTCAGCTGTTTTACTTCATTAGCTGCAGAGTGTGAAATCTAAAACTAGCTTCAGAAAGGAAGAGATGAAAGGATGGGCAAGGTAAACATACTGCCAATTCAAAGGTACAAAATATATCACAGCCAGAACTTTTCTTCTGAGCACCATCAGAGGAGGAAAAGCAAAAAAGGAAAAAGATGTTTGAAGGAGAATAAACTGCATTAATATAAGGGGATAGTGACATGTCTCTTTAGAAATATACTCCTATAAAGCAAAAGCAGACAGACTTGCTGTACCAGTCACCCTTTCTCAGAGTTCATAAAAGGAGTTTAGGTTGACTTCAGCTTAGTTAAAGGTGGTCACATCTCAACAGCTGGACTGAGCAAGGGTAAAAAACAAGCAGTGTTCACATTCATAATAACTCACTACTTCTAAAATACAAAAACACATTCATGCCCACACGATGACAAAATATGTCAACATTCTACTCAGGAAATATTAAAAGAGAACTTCAAAATTCCTTTTTTGAAACAGACTGAATGCAGGTACTTACCTTATAGTCAGTCCTTCTGCTACAGTAACCAAGTCTGAGTAAAATTGCCATTGGCTCTCTGCTTGTAGTAGAACAACTTATATTACATTATAATCTTTTCTATTTGGCTTGCATCTACCAGTATGAACTTTTATTGTATCCAGAAAGCTTGTCTGCAAGATATGCACACACACAAAAAGGAAGATTTATTAAGAGCATTTTTACTCCAGGCACATACTTCATACAGCTTTCCAAGCCGAGCCCTTAAGACACTACACCTCAGCTGAAATGTATGAAGTTGTAATTAAGTGCCGACCCTGCAGATCATTTGCTTTGTCAAACATGTACTTCCACAGACCTCAAAGAGTTTCACATTAAATATATAATTATATTCTGGTGCAGTTATGGGGAGAAAAACATACAAACAACTTTTGATACCTTCTTCCTCAAAATATGAGTTGATAAAAATTTTGCAGCATTATTTTAAAGTTCTTTCTGCATTTACTCCCAGTCAAAGAGATGCTTTCTTTTAGAAGAGGAATAAACAATCTTAGAAAGAAATACGGTAAGTTTGTCTTTTTTCCATATATTTCACCAAGAATGACCAAAAGGCAAGGATTTAGCTCTGTTTGGTTGCTTACATTCATTATTTTACTTGAGCAATTGCTCTGCATACAATTCTTAAGGCCCCAACGTCGCAAACTTTTATCTATATAAAGAACCCAAACTTAGAGGATGACCTAAAAATGACAGTTTGCTACCCTAACAAGTAAATTCAACTATAGGATCAGCACACTTACTGTTCCAGTTATCATACAGCCACCTCCTATGTATATAAATGAAGAAATAAAATTAGAAAGTAATATTCACATAACATTACCACGCAAACAAGATGCAAGAAGAATACGCTTGGTGTGGCTTCCAGATAAGATAAGCCACATTTATTCATTAAGGCGCACAAGTTAGGAGTTTTCTCTGAAGCACTTCAGAAATGCTCGCAGGAAAAGCAGCAGCTATAAAGTGCTTTAAAAGCTTCACTAGATTTTACTTGGCTTCATACCTGCTGCAGATATCCTATGAAGCACATACACTTCCCAAAAAGCCGGCGGTATCCACAACGTGAGCCCTCACCGGTGTCGGTGCAACCAAAGCGCTCCAGCAGCTCGTCAGCTCCGCTCCACTCTCAGGCACTGCTGCCGCGGGCAAGGACGAGGAGGAAAGGTGCAGATGGACCAGCCGAGCCCTTCCTCTGCTCGAGCCCCTCCCCGAGGCAGCGCAGCCTTTTCTGCCCGCGGGGGCCGGGCCGGGCCGGGCGGGGCCGCCCGCAGAGCCGCGAACGCCCCGTGAGCTCCCCCAAGGGCTGCCAGCTGTGAACCCCCAGAGCCAGCGCCCTGCGAAACGTGTTAGGGTTCCTGGTTTCTTTGCAGCCTCCAGACGCCGCAGGTCTGGGTGGCCGCGCTGATTTTGCAACTGCAGTCTTGCCCCATGGGCTTCAGTGGGAGATTGTCCTTGTCGAAGCTTGCAGAGCTCATTTGCGGTGCTGTTCGTGAGACGAGAGGTGCTTCCATATACTGGCTTGCAAAATCAGGTATTTCTTATCAAGAAAGCAAATAAATACTGGCTCTAACTGGGGCTTTGCTGGCAGAAACTGCAGTTGCTTACACAGGCTTCTCTGACTGCTGCTTTGTTTTAATCAAAGTCCTCAATTGCTCACAAAGTGGCACAAAAGACAATTACTTAATAAAAACCCAGCGGGAATTTTGCCCTTCAACAGCATAGAAATATTGTGTTTGTGTTGACAAACCTCTTGATTGGAGGCCTCTGGTAATTCAGTTATTTATTAGTAGTTCTGAGAAGTTCTAGTGACCTTAAAACTATTAATTCAGTAATATTTTCTTAAAAAATCTATCTACTAAAATATAATAGATAGAAATGCTCCACTAGTTTTCTCTTGTTTTCTCAGTTTCTATAAAAGCAGCATTAACCTTAGAGGTACCCCGTAATAACACATTATAAGATATATTTAATGTGAAATCTTACAAGATATATTTAATGGATTACTTTGCCTAATTGGATAAATGATTTGACTGTTATACTTGTATTATCTTGCTCATGGAAGTCACTGGGAAGCTGAGATCTCAGTGTATGGCAACTGAAGAAATATAACACTTAAGAATTAGCTTAAAATTAAATATGGATATTTCCCCCTGGCTGGGAAAAAAAATAATTCTGTTTACAACTGCCTTCATAAAGTTCCTTATATGAAAGAGTTTGATAAACTTGTAGGCCTAAGAACATTGTTAAGTGCTTGTGTTTTTCTAACTAATTTATGCTAATTAAAAACAGCTTTCATTGCAGATACATTATTAGTAAGAGAAATAATAATATAAATACATCTACAGTAAGAAAAATGGTGACCAGTGGGACGGATATTCCTGACAATATTTAGGTTCGTAATTTTCACAGATTACAGTGGAATTAATATACAGATGTTTTTAAGATCTTATTTTAGGGTCTTGGCTCACTGACAGAATGGGCTGTATATGTCTGAAAAATTGTAATAAATATAAGTATACAGTGAAGTAACTTCCTCATGAAGACCCACAAGGATGAAAATGCAAGCTACAGTTATGTTAGAAATGGCAATCAGTTTAAGAAAAGAAATCATTTATCTGTGAAAGGTAAAGTGGGTAAGGGAGAGAATACTGTTTTGTTTCTCATTGTATAGCTTCTCCTACTTCAGAAGGTATTAGCTATTGCCAAAGGGCTGTGAAGCAACAGAACCAGAAAAAAGGAAATTACTCTTTAACTACTGAGTACAAGTACCCATACTCCTACTGCACAGGCAATCATCAGTGTGTCTGGAAAGGCTCTTTTCAAACACAGCAGTCTCCTTAAAAGAAACAAAAACAAACAAACAAAAAACAGTTCTACAGACTTAATGAAAATGTTTCTATGAAAGGGCACAGCTTACTAATTTGTTAAGAATCATATCCAATATGTATCAAGGACATGAAATGTGTTAGGATACATGAACTATAAAAGTCCAGAGATGCATTTTCATTGAAAGTGTACTGCAATTAGTGTGTTCATAATAATTCTGTATTTATTGCAAAGCAGAGGTGCGTAGCTTAACCAAATGAGTTAGAGACACAGAGAGCTGGGGATTGGTTTTGCATCTTCTTGCGAGCTTGAAGAGAGATAAAGATGTGTAACCTACTATTGACCTATGTCAGAGGATGATGATGTCAAGTGGCAAATCAACAACACAACATCCAACATGAAAAGAAGCTGATGAATTTTTTTTTCCTGCATAATTTATTACAAAGCCTTAAGGAAGTAAGTGAAAGCTTATAATTCTGAAAGCAATGGCAATTTCATAAAGGAGACTTTATGCCAAGTATATAAAGGGGAATTTTTGTTGCTTAAGAACTGAGGAAACAAGTAAAATACATATAATATTGGAAATTAACTACTGGGCAGTGCAAGGCATATACCAATAACTATTTATTTTTTAAGCCCAAAGCAATATGGAAAACAATAAGCCATTGAAGCTAGATCTGAAGAGAACTCGAGTTACTGTGTGGTTCCTTGTAATCAACTTTCCACTCAGCTATTAAGATAACTATATAGCAATACTGTGGTATTTTAGAAGGTCAGACCTTGGTCAAGTTTCATATATGTGTGCACTGGGCTCTATGTTACTGGCAAAGGTATCACCATAAAACATCACTTGAGTTCAAATCATTGATGTGCAAAAAGGCTCCACCCCTATCAGACTGTTTTGATGATGGATAATGTGGATCTGAGCATTTTTTTGTTACTAGTGTTATCCATTTTGAAATATTGACATATGTTTGAAAAAGTGCATTTGAGTTTTGCTGAATACGTGCTGGATACTCGTCTTCCTCCGAAGATAAGATGCTGGCACCCACATTTATTCATCTATCTTGTAAATCTTACACTTACGAGGCCAGATTTCAGCATATTTCAAGCTTTTCAGTATCATTATTTTAGCTAAATATGTATTAGGAATTAATAACAATAACATTATCTTAGACAGGAAGAATTCTTCCCACCAAATCAATTTGTATATGATGGGGTTTTTTCCCTCCAAAGTGAGGGGAATGTTGAATCATTGTTGAATCACTGAATCCTGACCATCTAAAAGGAAATAAATTACGATAAAGTCTCATTGTAGGATGAGATGTTTTCCCCATAATTAATCAGTTCTTTTCCCTTCAGCTTTGGCATTGTTTTATACTTACCTGTTTTACCAACTGTCTTAAGCTACAAACCCGATAAATATATTCCCCTGATGTCCAGAAATATCCCTTTCATGTATGCTTTTTTTTCATTCTTATACCTCTTGAATAATCAGCCCCTTCTACTTTCACTAATTTTGGGAGCTTTTTACGTCACACATAAAAATTCAGACTTGGAAACGCATTTATACGAAAATACTTGTTTACTGAGAGGTAAAACTTGTTTTACAGTTTTCAGTCAATGACTGTAACAAGCCACCCGGTGGCAGTAGCCACTCAGTAAAATGAGCTTTGCCGCCGGACTGCAGATACCTTCTTTCTTTCTTTCTGTATCTCTATTCTGACACATTCACAGCTGTAGCACTCACACCATAGCTTTTTACCAAAATATGTATCCACTTTGACTTAAATAGATTAAAACAAACAAACAAAAAACCAAAACTTCCTTGCTTATCTGAAATGAAATAATTAAGATTGGTTCCCTGATATCAATTTGAGCCAGGTGTTCTGATAAAATGATGTCCAACCTGTCACTTTTCTGAGAGAGTCTCTAGTTAATTCAGTGCACAGCACAGTTTAATCAATGGATAAAGGACTGCAGTAAAATCATTTCACCCATCATTTCAAGGGATGTGGGCCATTGCTTTATCAGATGCACATCATGAAGTTTTACCTAATAAAAGTACTGAATTGGTAACTTTATTAAGTTTTCTGTATTTTTTACCCTTGCTGTGATGCTTTTTTAAATCATTAATTGTAATGTATTAGTGAGATGTGATAAGCTCCTGTTGTTCAGTTTTACAGGGAGCAAAGATCTTGCAGGCAAAGGCATTGACTTGTGAGTGCTTCAGTTTAAGGCACTTTAGACCTGCTTACAGAATTCGTAATGTGACACTCTGAGATTAACTGAAGTCTTGTACAGTGCTCTTTCACACACTTACCAGTTTCTTTGCCAGCCAATCTCAATTCCACCTTTGCTCCACAGCTTTTTTCCTCTTCCCTTTCACTTGGACTAGGAACTGATTTTCCTGCTCTTTTTCATCTCATCTCAGAGGTGCTTTCACAGACAACCCATTTCCAGTCTTTCAGCTTTTCTCAGCAGCTCTTAATTTGGCTTTTAAATGCATTCTTTGTTCAGACACGGTATATCTGTGGGTTTTGCAGCTGCTCTGAGTTCAAGCACAAGCAATGCTGCTGCAGGGATGATGCACAATGCTATTGGTTTAGCCACATGCTTGTTGGTACATGCCCAGTGCCCCTGTGGGGGAACCTTGTGGTGATGTTCGAGTACTCTTGGCATGAATGGCTGCAGGATTTCAGCTCTTACTTTGGCACATTTCACCTAAATGTTTGCAGAGACCTTCAAAAGCTAAAAAAACTAGTCAGACTGTAACAGAGCTGGTAAAAGGCATATCCGATGTAGGAGAGCTGTGAGAAGGTTAAGGGAAGAGAAGATTGTTTCATAGCAGTTTTCAAGTCTTGTAAGCAGCAATCCTTGCTTGATGAGCACAGGGGAATATCATGCAAGGTGTGAAGTGACCCGGTCAGACACACTATGGAAAGCTGCCTCCTGCACAGTCAGGTTAGTACATAGTCACTATGCAAATCAGGACCTCCAAGGAAGTTCCAAATTCTGGGGGAACCTGCTGCACCTGCAGTGACTGAACAAATATGTCACTGATGTTCTCAGAAGCAAATACCAAATTTGCACTACTGTACAGACACTAATTCCTCCACCAACAAGAATCCAGTGGCTTGTGCAGAGGTAAGATACCCAAACTGGGCAGCAGCAGCAGTTTGTCCCAAAGTACAGCAGTAATTCCTGTGTCAGTTTTATTCAACAGAAAAGTGCAATCAGTTATTTAACATTTGAGCTTAAAGGGCTGTCAAGGTGAGATTTAAGGATGATTATTATTTTAATGGACCAGGAAAATATTCATGGTAATCACAGCACATCTCACTAGTGCTGAACAGAACAATTCACAGGAAGACAAAAGTGCTCATAGTGGGTCAGCACCCTGGTATGGTATTTTCTCCTTCTGCAATAAAAATTGGCCCAGTGTACCTGAATTTATTTTACACTTAAATAAGTTAAGTGGTACAAGAATACCATTCAAGCACTTGGGTTTTAAATTTTGTTTGCCAAGTCACCACAGTTGCAGATTATTAATATCAAACTAATGTGACGCTGTTAGCTAAAGCATAGTCAAACGTATCTTAAGCAGTTATGTGAAAAGCTACCTTTAACTACAACAACATTTTATATGGACCTCTGTAAAGATACATGCACTGAGTTTTACAATTTTCTATTAAAAATTAAACCCTATTAAAAATTAACTTTATAGGGAAGTCAAAGCAAAGCATTGATTTTTTGAGGCCACATAGTAAGGGAATGGCCAAGCTGGAATTAAAAACAAACCAAAAATGTTTCTGCAATCCAAAAATTCCTGATGACATCAGGTTAATCTTTGAAAGATCAAAACAACACTGCCAAGTAACTACAGGAAAGGCCAGTAAGAGCGAACTGAATAGGTTAGTGTCCTGGACTGTCCATCTTATTTGATTTCTTACTTATATAGCCACATTTATTCCAGCCTACTATTTATTCACTGCCTGTCCCACTATTGCAATCTGTTTAGCTATTCAGAAGAGATTTTTAAAAATAAGTTACAGGTGATTACTGCAATGTTCTCACCAATGTTTTCACTCAGTACTAGATTCTAATGTCCAAGAACATATATGAATTCTGCTGGGTACACAGTTGTCTAAGAACAGCAGTTATTTCCAGTCACTGCATAGCAAAGATCTAACTCTTAGAAAAGACTGCAGTTTAATCAAATTGCAGTCATACAGTTTTAAAGAAAAGGAGTTTTCATTCAGGTTTGCATTTCTGATTGAGATCTCCCCATTAGAAAACAACAACTAGACAGAAGATTCAAAACCTCTTAAGCTTTGTATTGTTTGAACAATAACACAGTGTTAATTCATGAATTGACAGGGCATGAATGTGGAGTGTTGAGAAAAATGTGCTACCACTTTAAATTTTAAAAAGCCTCATATCTCCTGTATACAGGCCAAAAAAATCTGATTTTAATTTTATTTAAAGGTCCAGTTATGTTCTCTCTGTGCTAGTTGGCTTTTATTGTTGTTATTGGAAACCCTTTGTTATTACAAATAAAAAATGAGTACCGTCATGTAAGTACTTTAAGTTCCCCCACTTCACAGTCATAACCTTTAAAACAGACGCAAGCAATATGACATCAGTGTGATCTGACACCCACCGAAGAGCTCCCCAAAGTGTATTGACACCACTGCCAGGATAACTGTTCCTTAAAACTGTGTTTCAAAGCAGAAGGCAGGAGGGGGGGAGCACTAGGAAGGTGTGTGTAAAAGGAGCAAAGAATTATGGTATTAATAAATTTGAAAAAGCTGCAGAATTATTTCCTCATAATAACTTTGATATGATATGCACTCTTATTCTGAAGCAACTCTTGATCATTTCCTGCTGTGGTATATCATATCACACACTGAGAAACTGCAAACTGAAGATAAAACGGCACTGTGAAAACCACCCTTTAGATATCAGTGTAGAAAATGCTATGCACGCTTGCTTTTGGTTGTATCTTAGACAAAATCTGCAATGCTCAATGGTAGCACTTGAGCACTGATGTTTTGGTGTGGTTCCCATATACAGAAAACCTGCTCAGTTTAGATCTGCTAAATTAACACAGACCCTGAGTTTGTAAGGAATGTGCCAGCATAAGAGGTGATGCTGATGCAGAAAGGGTTAGAGCAGTCTGCTCTGCTTTCTTTCCTGCAGGATTTACACTCTTGACATCTGGTTTAGCTACAGTCACTAATTACGGTCAAAATAACTGATTCAGGATTGGTTTCCTAATGACTTTGGTCCAAGACACTTAAAAACCCTTTTTCATAAGTTTGGATAGATTTCAAAAGCTGTCTCAATGCACAGCACAGAGGAGATGTGGCAGTGCAAACTGAGTAATTACAGGAGGGTGAGTTTCCCTATTGAGTAGGAAAATCAAAAGAGCCACATTTTAGAACTTAGTACCAGTGGTGAAACTGCTTCCATAACACCCTTTTGTGTTTTTCTTCCTTTTCAAAAAGTATCCAGCATGCACTTTAGCATGCAATGGACTTGGCCACATAGGCATTATTTGCTCTCCCTCTCTTAGAGCAGTTCTCTGTGTAAGCAGGTCATGAAAATCCTAAATCCCACTCCATTTGAAGTACCTGACAGGACACCAGCAAGTCTGGAAGAAGGATCACTTGTGCAAGGCTCTGTGGCAGACCAACCTCAGAGTCACTTAAGGATACCAAAGCCTCCTGAGGACCCCAGAAAAAAGATGGTCCAGGTCTCTTTCAACTACCTCAGTTGGTTTTGTTCCTGCAACTCCCATACCTGTTGAAGCTTCTTATATTTTCCATTTCTGTGTTGTAACATCTTCTTTTCTAGGACATATCCACTTCAGAGGAAACAGCCAGCATACCAGGAGAGCCAGGATTCTGTCCTGTATACAAACACAGGCCAGCAAACTGAGCAATAAATAAAGGTGCTAGGAAAGACAAGGACAATCCTAGGCCCCAGGAAATATCCATGAAAAGTATCTCAGATTAGAAGTATCACATTTGAATCATATCTGAATGAACCTCACTGAGGAGAATGTTAAGGAACTGCACTCACAGGGGCTTTTACTGTGAATTTTTACACATCCTATCTAAGGTCCCTAATATTGTCAGGGACATATAGGTTGACATATTCACCTAAACCAACAAGAAAACCTCTTTCAACAATACCAAAAAATGTGAACTGCAATGACAATCAGTCAGATTTCTTATACTGTTCACAGGGAGAAGCAGGTGAAGGGAAAAAGAAAGAAAGAAAAAGAGCTACCAAAAGATAAAACAACTCCATTTGAAATGGATGGTAGTGTTTCCATGAATATCAAGGCCTTTGGACTGTCCCTAAATGCATTGTAATTGGATGAACACAATGTGGTAAAACACAGTTATGAGGGTATGCATGGGGCGACTGGAAGCAAATGATTTAAACCTAAATTGTTTTGAAGACTGCTTCTAGTTCCACTAAATATACAGCCTTTAATAAGGAAAAAAAACAAACCAACAAACAGCTCAGTATAACATAGTGACTGTAATTTGAGAAGCACTTTTTTTAAAACTGTATTTCTAGGCAATAAAAATAGACTGACCTTCCAAAGATGCAAGGCTGACCTTTACACTGGGTGCAGTTAATGGCTTCGATGGTGAGAGGCCTGAAGCAAGTGTCCCAGGTGTTCTGCAATATAAAGCAATAGTAATGGTTTATACAGTGTGCTGCAAAGCAAGGGATTGGGGTGATGTTTTGGTGTCGTGTTTTTTTTTATAAAACTACGCTACCTCTTGGTCAAAGACAGATCCACGGAGTTGGTAGTCTTGTCCATACACTATATTTAGCACTTAAACCCTGGCTGACATCATGTTTTTCCTGCGGCACAGCCTATCAGCACGGAGCGGGCCGCCCGGCGCGGGTGCGGGCCCTGGGGCGGGAGCGCTGAGGAGCCCGGCGGTCACGGCGAGGAGCGGCTGAGCCCGCAGGCGTCAAGCGGGACTCTCCAAGCAGCCTTTAGAGCCACCGTGCCCTCAGCGGAGCGCCCGGTCAGTCACACAGAGCTCCGGCCGCAGGTGCCCTGTTCCCTGGGGGCATCTCTCGTGTCTGCGCGCCCCAGCCGGGTGTGAAGGTGCTGGCGAGGCGGTGGCTGTGCAGGCTGGGACAGGACACAGGTACCGCCGTGCCGCGCTCCCGGGGCGTCCCGCGGTGCTCCAGGGCACAGGCCCGCGGAGAGCTCAGCCCGCTCCCTGCCGCAACAGCGCGGGACACGGGGGTGGCCCCTGAGGGAACGCTGAGATGCCCTGGGGTACCCCTGCGGCACCCTCTGCCCGCAGGGCGCGCTCCCCGGGACGGGCCGGCAGGGCGGGGCCGGCAGGGCGGGGCCAGCAGGGCAGGGGCGGGGCCGAACTGGGCGGGGCCGAGGGCGGAGGGGCGGGGCCCGTTGCGGCGGGGCCGGGCCTGCCCGGGGGCGGGGCGCAGAGCGCGGGGGCGGAGTCGGGCGGTCCGGGGCGGGGCAGAGGGCGGAGGGGCGGGGCAGCCCCGCCAGGCCCGGCCAGGCTGTCCCGCAGCGCCGCCGGGGCGGGCCTTGGGCTCTCGCGGGAGCTGCGCCGGCGCCGCCCGTCCGCGAGCGCGGCGGCCGCGGAACCAATAAAGTTTGTTTCAAAAAAAGGCAAGAAAAGGGCAGGGAAGCAGCGGTGCTTCCGCGACTGCGGGCGAGCTCGTCACCGACCGCCCGGCCAGCTCGGGGCGGCCGCAGCGGGCGAGGGCGGACGCGCAGCTCCAGCCCCGGCTCCGGGGCTCCCCTCGGCCTCGGCAGCCGTCGCCCTGCGCGGGGAGCGGCGCCGCCGCCGCTGTGCGGGCCCGCTCGTGAGTATGGCGGGGCGGCTGCGGCGGGCAGCGCTCCCCGCGCAGGGCGGCGGGGCGGCCGTGCCGGGCCTGGCGGGGTCGCCGGCGGTGCCGGGGCGGAGAGTGACAGGTGTCAGGCTCCCCCTCCGCGGGGACACCCTGCCGCTCTGGCTGCGGGCCGGGCTGCGCTGTGGGACGGGAGTGCTCCGGGGTGCTGCCGGTCCCCGGCCGGGGCAGCGCTGGGCGCCGCCTGACAGCTCGCTCCGTGCCCGGCCGCCCTCCGCCCAGCCCGCAGCGCCCGTGCCCGCGCTCCCCCGGCGCCGGGGAACATGTAAGCGCGGCCGGCGGCGTGAGGCGCTCCCGAGCGGCCGCGTCCTGTCCTGCCGGGGGTCGCCGCTGACCTGCGGGGTTTTGTGTGTGTTCTCTCGCGGCAGGGCTCTCCTCCCCCTCCCCGTAGTGAGTGTCCCGGCGCGGGGGAAGCGCCGGACGGGCGGCCGCGACCATGCCGGGCGTTAAGGAGACACGGCTGCTGCACCTCAGCGAGATGGAGAAGCTGGACAAGACCCTCTTCAGGCTGGAGCAGGGTAGGTCGGGGCAGCGGGGCCGGGTGAGAGGGAAATGGCCAGGACCTCGGCATCGTCTTTGGACGGCAGTGGAAAGTGGTGGCGGTTTTGGTGGTGTGGGGGTTATGTTGTTGTTGTTGGTTTGGGTTTGGCTGTGGTTTTGTTGGTTTGGTTTGACTTTTTCTATTGTTTTAATGTGAAACAGTTTCTGAGACTCTTGCTTCCACTGCAGAGCTCTATGGGCTCAAGGCACAGCTCGGTCTGATGCATAAAAGTCTTGAGAAATGAAGAGCAGGTTGGCCTGGAGCCGTCAGTCTTAATGGGAGTGAAGTACAAAGCATTTTTATAGACGAGCCCTGTCCCTCTCCTTTTATAGCCTGTACTTCAGGGACCCGAAGAAGTCTCATAAGTCAAGATTTCCAGTGTTTATCTGCAATGTCTTATGCAGCATCCCGTGTTTTAATATTATAATTCTGAAATCTGTCATTGTTATTAGTATTTTGCAAAGACTGAAAGTCTGAGGTAGTATTTCAGAATAGAAGGTCTTTAGCTCCTCTTAAATCTCATTATCAGATTTCTTAGCGCTGCTGTATACTTCTAAAAACTTTACATTATTTCTCCTTGAAGTGTTCTTAAGTCTATTTGGAAAAAAAAAACCAACAAAAAAACCAAAACAAAACACCAAAACAAATAAATAAAACCCCCTGTTAATTGGTCGACTATTATGCCAATCAGCAAATTCAGACTATAAAACTAAAACCACTGTCTTTAAAAAAAAAACATTTTTTATGATGCAACAGATTTTATTATGAATTTTGTGGGGTTTAGTACTGTGTGTTACTGATCTAGTAACCTAATATCAAAGTGGTTTAGTAGAGGAGCAAGATTTTGATTCTTGATAATAAAAATTCTCTTCAACTATATTGATTTCAAAATTTTCAGTACTGACACATTTTCTTATATTAGACTGTAAGAAGAAGTGCAGAGTTGATCCTAACCTCCATTTTTAACTCTTCCGTCCAGCTGTGTAGATTTTCTTGAAAGGGGTGACACAGAAGTGCAGGGCTCTCAGACATTCAGAGTGCCTTTGCTGGTAGCAGTCTCCAAGAGGGCATAGCTAATTTTGAGCACAGCATTCCTGATGTCAGTATAACTGTTACAGGAAATAAGATATCAATGGCATATATCCCTGTCCTCTAATTTTAGTAATCCCGGTAACAAAATGTCAGGTCAGTACTGAAGAGAGTATACTTAACATTCCAAAAGTGATTTTTTTTTTTATTGCGTTCAAATAAGCTTTATTTTACCTGCAAGATATTCAGATCCAGAAACCACTGCTCTGCACGGTGGGTTTTGGTGCTGTGGTGATTGTTAGTAAGAGGAATGCCAAGCTTGGTAAGACTTATATTTAAATGTGTTCAGACAGTGAATTCTGGTATTAAAGTCCCCATAATTCTGCTTAATAAGCAAGTGGCTTTTTTTTGACTTACAATACTGTAACTTGACATCCAGGTATTTTACACTTTGATGTCTGTGTGTTAGTAACTTTCCTTTTTTTAAAAAATACTCAGGTATCTTTTACTCTCTGTTTTGTAAACTACTAGTGCTAGTAGGTATTTTACTACAGTTACCTATGTGACTGCCATGTAATTTAGAAAAGTCACTGTGCAAGAATTTATATCCATTTCATTCACTAGAAAGAACCCTTGTAATTAGCCACACACAGGATGGTGGCCCTCATACCCACAGGTGGAAACCGATTCTGAAACCTCTTGACAAAATTGAATTTTTTTTATATCCAGCTCAACAGACTACGTGTGGTTTTAGGTCCTAATTTTTTAACTAAATTTTTTCTCATTATCAAAGGAGTCTTCAGCCTAAACTTAAGACTCTATCTCTGTGTGTGTGTGTGGCCTGCAGCATGTATACAAAACTCTCTCTGGTTTGTTGAGTTGTCTGGAAGTTTAAGAATTTGTATATTGTAGATTACACACAAGTATATATCATTTTGCATTTAAAAGCATAGGGAGTTTAGCATTGTTTAGTGAACCCTCAGTGCATAATGAGGGGATTTGAAATATTTTGTTTTGAAATGTGTTCCTAATTTTTTTTTTTCAGACATTTGCATGGGTCAGCCCATGATTTGGTAAACTTACTTACTTAAAGACCACATAAAGGCTGCATAAAATTTCATGCAGTCTGATGATCACCGTGTTTTGCTGTATTTTTTTCTTTTAAGACTTTTATATAGCAAAGAGAAATAGGAAAGGGGACAATTAGTGTCATATAAGTAAAGGAAAAAAACTATATATGTAAAGTATGCAAAGAACAGTGTTAGGAAGGTAGGGAGACATGATGCAATTTTGGGTGCCACAATATAAGAAAGATCTAAAGCGATTATAGAGCGTCCAAAGACGAGTGGTGGGGAAACCGTGTGAAGAGCAGCTGAGGTCACTTGGTCTGTTCAACCTGGAGAAGAGGAGAGTGAGGGGAAATCTCACTGCAGTCTTCAGCTTCTTCAGGAGGGGCAGGCACTGATCTCTTCTCTGTGGTGACCACTGACAGGACCTCAGGGAATGGCCTGAAGTTGCCTCAGGGGAGGTTTAGGCTGGATATTAAGATAAGTTCTTCACCCAGAGGGTGGTTGGTCACTGGAACAGGGAAGTTGTCACAGCGCCAAACCTGATAGTGTTTAGAAGGTGTCTGGACAATTCTCTCAGGCACATGTTGTGCTTCCTGGGGCTGTCCTGTGCCAGGAATTGGACTTCAGTGATCCTTGTGAGTCCCTTCCAGCTTGGGATATTCTGTGATTCTATGCTGTAGAAATATATCATTCTGCTGAAATTCTTGTCAGATATGTGGGTGCTTTCTTGTTAACATGATGTCAAAGTAGGAGTTATAATAACACACTAGAAATACTTAGTCATCCTGATAGAGATTTTCTTTTTTTTTTCTTGAGGTTTTGAACTGCAGTTCCGACTGGGCCCAACTCTTCAAGGCAAGCCCGTTACTGTGTACACCAATTATCCAGCTCCTGGAGAAGCGTTTGATCGCCACAAATTCAGGACATTATCGTGGCACAATCCTGCAGGAAAGGAAGATGACTCTGACAAATACTGCAAGCTGGATCTCCAAATTTCCGGGTCATATCAGTATTATTTTACTCTTGGGTGAGTGAAATTCTTATATTTACAGCCAAATGCAGTCTGCTTCTATACTTTAACCTGAAGAAAACCATTTTTTCCATGTGTTTTTCAAATTGCAACCATTGGGCCAGTTAGAATCTGCGAATGAAAAACTGACTCTGGTGGTTATTTGATACCTTCTGATACAGAGATGTTTTGGAGAATATGCAGAACCAAGCTAGTTTTCTGTGAATGCTGGAGAAGCAATCTATGTTTACAAGTTTTCAAATTCATCAGCATTATGAGCATATGAATGATTAATTTGTACTTTCTTCATTGACTTTGAGGGTTGTTTTCTACCTTTCCAGCACAGAGGTTCTGGCATTCTTTACTTGCATCCTTTATGTCCTCCTTTGTTTCAGTGGGAGAACTGAAGAAGAGAAAGCCAGTATCTGTAATAATTGTAGTCTGGTATTTGGAGCTTCTGAAAGATGAGTGGTTAAAATCTTCCAGGCTTAGAAGGACATTTAGCTTGGGTATCTTCCTGAGGATGGTGCTCAAAATGGAGATATTTGTATAATAGATGGGCAGTCAGGCTTTCTGTGTTTCTGTCCATATGCCAAAAGGAGGAGCCTGTACTCTGTCTCAGCAAATAACAAAGGTACCTCACTTTTGCAGAGAGTTTGAAGCTCTGTATTGCAATTGCATTCTTTTAATTC